AATTTGGGTCGAAACCCGTCAACCACTGCGAAATATTCACTTGCTGCCGACAGACAGTACTAGGGGGACCCACTGATGAGCCAAACACCTCGAAGCTGTGTCAAGCAGCGGCAGAATACCGGCGAAGCACGTGTCTGGGCCTCTTAGCTAGTACCGAAGCAGTTATTATGGTAAGTTACAAAATCAATTTATAGTACTAAGGGCGTTCTGTCGGCAGCAAGTGGATATTTCGCAGTGGTTGACGTTTTTCAATCCAAAGATACACTTACAACTTCGGTCTACGTCTATAGACCTTAAATATACTGATATATATCACGAACAGAAATTAATTTCTCAGGAGGTTAAAAAGCTGAACTTTCAAAACCAGCATATCAACCAAAAATCAGACAGGGATAGCTGGGGGACCCACTAATGAGCCGGGCCCCTCGCAACTGTGTCAAGCAGCGGCAGGATACCGGCGAAACACGCGTCTGGGCCTTTTAACTAGTACCTAGGCTGTTAGTATGGTAATTTACAACATCAAGTGTTCTATCTGTAGAACAGATAGCACCAACAAAGACTAAACCGACCCCACACTTTGGCGAGTGATCCCGTACGTCAAAAACGCCTCAGAGGCAGTCAGCCGCCTTCTCGCACCATGTGCAGTTGCCACCGCACACAGGCTGTCAGATAAGGAAAACGAAGGAAGCACTGCCATGGCAAGCAACATCTGGAGTCGTCTATAGGATCTGATGTAGTTGCGGACAAGGCAACTACGTCAGAGAAACTGGCAGACTTTTGAAGACGCGAATTGCCGAACACGCGGCAGCAATTCTCAAGTCGCGGCTCATTCGACGAGACTCGGCTACAAATTCAAATTTGATGAGGCCGAAAGTCATTGCTGACGTAACGAATTAGCGCACACTCAAGGCATTTATCGATTTTTTCTGTACGTTTAAATTTTACGGCGAAACCCTGTGCACACACAAACTGTTTCCGCTACTGTTCTGTGAGTATGTCTCTGAGGATGAATCCGCGACGGATTTCGAAACGTCAGTCGAATAATCATATTGTCACAGCGATCGAGTCGTCTTCTACTTCTCACTTTTGAATGGCAGGAAGGGTCTCGAAAGGTTGCTATGCGGCTCATAATGGTTATGTTTCAGACTTCCTGTCGACTGTAATTGGTGAAGGTTTTAACGGTGGCAATAATAAGGATGAGGATGGGGATTTAGAATGGGTTTTAGGTGGTGCCTATGATGGCTATTGGTGGGGGGGGGAGAGAGTAATAGCTGTCATAGCTAATTCAGGTCATGGCAAAGATCACAGTATGAAGCCAGGCTGATAAAAAATTATCGTATCGCGGTGAGTAGGAGATAACGCTGAAGGCATACCAACCCTCTAATGCTCAAGTATGGCAAAATAACTGTTTCCTATTTGGCCTCAAGAAGGAATGAGTCGCCTCGAAAACAGGAAAAAAAACAAATGGCATTAATTAAGCTAGCACTTACCGGTGAGCCAATATGCAACGGAGGACAGTCAGACCGAGTCGCATGAGTTGCCAGTCACAGTTCATAAATGGACAATTCATCACCTGGGAAATAAAACACATCAAAAAAGTTCTTATATAAAATCTCTAGAGTACGGCCCTATCAGCTGGTGATATCAATGGCACAAAGCAAGAAACTGAGCTATCGAGTGCTAATAGACTGGAAAATACGCTTTCAAATGAACTGTTCTGCTTGACAGGGGAAGCTTGCAGTACCGAGTGAAGTCCAGTAGTGTGGATCAGATATTCACACTGAGACGGATCCTTGAATTCCGCCATAGCTACCAGTAAACCAACGGCCGTCTGCATTGTTGAATTTACCGCTGCGTTCGACTCCGCCATCGTGACTCCCTATGGCGGATAATGGCATTTGATGTTGTACCGCTAAAATAATTGCTATGATCAAGGCATACTGCCGCTCTACTACTGCAAGGGTTCCACTCCACAACCTCTCAGAACCCTTTGCTATTCGGTCTGGCATTCAACAAGGTTGTGTCCCGTCACCCATTCTCTTTAACTGCGCCATTGACTGGGTTCTCGGGAAGGCCCTACAGGAAAATGACGGTATTGAACTTGCAACCGGGCGCCGGTTGACTGACCTCGACTATGCCGATGATATCG